TCCTGAATCAGATATTTTCATTCCTGAAATGGATAATTTTGTTACACCAATTCAATTCTGTTTCTTTTTAATGTTAAAAAATTGAACTTACAGTCGGCACTCTATATAGCGAACTTACTATATAGTGGATAATAATAATTATTATAAATTTGGATTGCAAAAATGTCATCAATTGATCAATCAAATAAGAAGAGAAAAGGTTTGACTTGGGGCGAGAAAAAACAATTTTGCAAGTTTTTATAAAAGAAATTCATCATTCCATATAAAGAACTCGGTCAAAAATACAGAATTGCAACAAAAAAAAATAAAGATCTGAAATATACCGATCTTGAAAGTGCATTGGGTGACACGCGTGATTTTGTTGAAATTAAAAAATATTCACAACGATTCAAAATTTCTCATTTATTGACTTTAATAAATATTCATAAGTCATGAATTGTATTCCGCCTCCCGGAGCAACTCTTAACACTCTCAGCCAAGCACCTCTAAAAAAAGCAAGGAATCCTTCCTCTTTAAGCATCAATTTACAACAGTTCCAACTAGTTTTGTAAAGCGAGGATTGATCTTGCATTCTAGTTTTTACAACATCAGGTGGAGAATTCAAGATGCCGACAATAACATTTGCTAGAAAACCAGATGCTGCATGTTGATACGATGCCGAATGATTATCATTATAAGATAGAAATAAATCTTTAAATGCTGTATAAGCAGAAAACTATGAATTAACATGTAAATAGACAAATATATTTATATTGTTAAATATGTATATTAAAAATAAAAATAAATTTATTTTTTATTGTTGTTATTTACCTTTATTCCCAATCCCCAAGACTGTTTAAATATTGTAGGTAAAAGACCTTTATATAATGCGAATATTCTGATAAAAAAAATCACATTGATTAACAACATTACAAAAGACAAAAGGATCAACATTAATCATAATCTTCACCCTTCTTCCTTAACTATTATTCCAATTGTGGAAATCATCCCTTTGTATTTTTTCTTACTTATGTCAGTTTGTTGTCTTATTTTTATTAATTCTAAAGGAGTGACTAATGTAATAGATTGTAATACACCTGTACAAACCTAATAACATTTTAAATAATTAAATGATTATCAATTGATTAAATTTATACTTTACCCATTTATCAATGTATCTACTTACACCTGTTAAAGCAGATGAACTTCCAAGTGGAGTAAGTCTTTTAGTTTCCATATCAACAAAAATTGGTCTAAACATTGCAAAACCTGCATATTGTAATGAAACTCTTGATAGTAAATTTGATAATATATATATTTATTAAGCATATTTACATCTACGTATATATCATAATTAAAAGATTTCATTATTATTATTGATATTGTTATTATTATTACCTTGGAGTTACAATACACATGGATGGTATTGTACCTCTATACAATGCTATTAATTAAAAGATCATTATTATTAATATTAAATAATTAAGAAAATCAATTCTTTCATTCTTCTTATTTTTAGCAATAATAAAATTTTTTTTTTACCAAAAAAACCTTCTTGATTAATAATTTTTGAAAATGATTTTATTATTCCAGAACCTTGATAATTATGAAAAACTCTAATTGACTGATAATAATTAATAATTAAACAATTAGATAATAACAATGACAATAATTTATTAAATTTTGAAAATTAATTAATTAATTACCTGATATCTAATCGATTTGAAATGTTAATCACACATAAAATCATTAGTAAAATAAGTAAATTGAAAAATTGAAAAAAATCAAAAATAAATAATATATAACTTTCCTGGTTTTTAATACATCAGTTGGCTATTAAAAAATAAATATAAATAAATTCTTTTTTTTTTTTTAATTTGATTTTATTAAAAATTTTATTGCCGAAATTTTTTTTTACCTGCGCAACTAAAACTTCAACAATTCTTTGGATTATCATTAATCAATAAATTAACATTCATCAACATTTAAATAAATTTATCGAATATTAACAATCGATTAAAATTTTACCCTGCACCGGTACCAGCCAAAGTAGACGCAAATATATTTTTTGCCATAATATTATTAAATAATTATTGGGACAATAAATTCATTATCATCTTTATCATCTTGTAACTTTTTCGTACAACAAATTTTGTCAATCATCTCTAAATTTGACAAAATAACGCGTGGTCGATATTTTAATATTTTAATCTTTTTCAAAAATTTTTTTCTTTGTGAACGAGTAAAACAATTCTTGTGAATTAGTGAATTATAATCAATATAAATCGATTAATTTATTCCTTATCCTTTGTATTTTCTCTTGAGTGAGTTATGGCTAGAACGCAACCACAAACAAAACGTAGACCAGCTGCTGCAAAAAAATTTCCAAGACGAATCACTTCAGCAACAAGTTCACCTCATGCTATAAAAACTAGACGTAAAGATTTGTTACATTTTTATTTTTATGGTTTTATAACATTTAAATTTGAAAAAAATTCTCACTTGTCATAAATAAATGAATTAAATATGCGTAATAAAAAGCTGGTGATCCCATAAGACCATCAAAACCGAGAAGATATAAACCTGGCACTGTGGCTTTAAGGGAAATCAGACAGTACCAAAAAACCACAAATCTTCTCCTCAGGAAATTGCCGTTTTCCAGAGTGGTTAGTGATCAGAATAATAATTATTATGTTAAAAAATTTTTTTAATAGTGATTGAACACACACATATATAGGTTCGAGAAATTGCCATGGAAATACTTCAACCGGATTCTCAGGTGGGGTTTAGATGGCAATCCACGGCTATTTTGGCCCTTCAAGAAGGTAAAACATTCATTTTATTTTGTTAATTGAATTCTTTATATGTGTGTGTGCGTGTGTGTGTGTGTGAATACATATCAATTTATAATTAAAAAAAAATTTTTTCAATTAGCCACCGAAGCATTCCTGGTTCACTTGTTTGAGGATGCGTATGTTTTGATTAAGATTTTCAATTTATAAAAATTATAACATGATTTTATTAATAATATTAATAAAAAAACAAAATTTTCTTCTTCATCAATCAGAAATCTATGCGCCATCCATGCCAAACGAGTCACACTAATGCAAAAAGATATTCAATTGGCAAGGAGAATCAGAGGAGTATGGGGAGGACTTGGATAGTTATCGTGCTAATCAATAGATATTGGATACACAATGGTTGAAAATACTGTTAAGATTCTTTTGCTAATATCAATTAATAATCTTATATTTTTAAATTAATTTTTTAAAAAAAAAATTCACAAATAATGATTAGTTATATATGATATGTTATTGCAAAAAAAATGTAAATACAACAAAATTAATGTATTGCTATTTATAATAAAGCAAGTGAAAAAATTTTTTTCTTTTTCTTTAAATTGATCAATATCAGTATAAGATCATAAAGATAATTGGGTAGTAGTTAGATAATGAAAGACGGAAATCAATCGATCATTATTATTATAATAATCAAGCAAACAAACAATAATAAAGGTCATGCATACTTCTCTCTGATTAACTAATTAATTTTCTTGTTTATTTTAGATTGATTAAATATCAATATCAATTTAAAAAATTTTTTTAAATATTCTAGAAAAAAAGAAGATTAATTGATTTATAACAAAATCTAAATATAGAGAGCGTGTGTGATGAAGAAAACACAAAATTAATAATATAATTATTATTCATATAAATAAGAAATCCCGTTATATGTATCATATTTAAGCATTCAAGAAAAGTAGATGATCATGACAAATGTGTCAAATGATTGATTAAATATAATAACTACTAATCAGCAAAAAACGAATATTTTAGTCTTTTTGACTAAGGATGTCTTCAAAGAAAGCATCTAATTGAGCAATATGTTCGTCCTTTATGGTTGTTTCTCCTCCTTTATTTTGATTGAATGATTCCGCACTTAACATTGTCAATAATTTATCTTGATCATTTAGTTGTTGACCATTATCACGTTGTCGTCGATGTTGTGGTGGTTGTGATGATTGTGGATATCTTCCTTGTTGTCGAAGACTATTATTATCATTTGGAATAGTGTTTTCAGAATTTCTATTCACCAAAACACCAAATTTTACAGAATCAATAATATCTAATGTGGGTCTATAACCAAATTGTTTCATTTCTTCCAAAGCCATTTTAGCTCTTGTGTCATTATTCGCAACACATTTCATAATGATCCTTTCATAGATTTCAATGCTTGGTAATATATTTTTTGATTTCATTTCTTCTAAATATTTAAATGCGTCCTCATAATCTTGTTGATTCAAACACACAAATATCATGTGTTTATAAGTATCAGCGTTTGGTTCAAGACTATTAGTTTCCTTTAACTCCTTGAAAAATTCTTCGCCCAACTCCTTATGACCAGAGTAGATGGTTACATTTATTAAAGCATTGAATGTATCTAAATCAGGCTTTATGCCAAATTTCTCGATTGATTTAAAGGTTTCAATAGCTCTTTTCAAATCAGCACTATTTGATCTACCGCCGATTCTCTTACAAGCAGCAATGATTGCATTAAATGCCGATATATCAACCTTTTTACCTTCATTGTGTAATTCTTCTAATATGTAATAAGCCTTGTCAATCAAATCGGTGCTTCTTTCTATATATTTTACAATTGATGAAATTGTCTGTATAGCACATACATGCTTTGAAGATCTTATAATGTTTAACACACCAAAAGCTTGTTTCAAATCACCTTTAGTAACAAATGCTTCAAGAAATGGCTCCAAATGGTACAATTCCAAATTGACTAATTTACGAACAGTCATTAAATATTTAAGTACTTCAGTTGCTAGTCTTGTATTACCGGACACAGAGGCTAAATTTAACAAATTTATACATAAACCCTCATCCAACCAAAATTTATCTTTAGTGAGGATATCCCAACACTTCAATACACCTTCCATCTAAACACAAAATGGAAATAAGCATATCATTATTACTTTTTAATATAAATTTAAATTTTAATAAAATAAAACCTACATTATTTTGATAAACAAAAACTCTTAGAATGTCCAAATTCGTATTAGAAAACACACTATAACCATCTCCTTCAGACATTTTCATTAATTCAAGTACCGTGATATCATCATTACACCTTATGAAGGCTTTAATGATCTTTTGATACAATTGAGATGATGGTTTAAAGTTTTGACTTTTCATTGTTTCAAGGAAATCTTTTGCATGTTCAAGTTCATCATTTGCTATCATTGCATCAATATAACATTCATATGTAGTTCCGTTTGGTTCAAGTTGAAATTGATTCATCAAGTCAAAAGTGAATTCTCGAAGGGTTGAATCTTCCTGTTTTCCACATGTCTTTTTAAAAAAAAAAATAATAATTAACGAGAATTAAAATATAGTTAACATACATGATTTTATCAAATTATCACTCACTGTAATCATTTTATTTTGATCTTGGGTTACAATAATGATGATGATAATTTACCTTTAGTATGATGTTAATTGTTTCTAAATTAGGTTTGATACCACCTTCAAGCATATCTTGTAAAACTTTTGTGGATTCAATTAAATCTGAACGTCTTGAATAAGCCTCTAGAAAAATATTATAGGCCGTAACATCAGGTTTAATATTTTTAGATTTCATGTCTTGAAAAATCCCATTCAATTTTTTTATATTATCCCGACTTTTCGCTAATTCCATTAGTGGATCATAATTAACAAATTCACTTTCATTGATAAGTGATTCTGAAGCAGCAGGTGGAAAAGATGGCGGATCGTTTAGTAAAGATGCAGAGGAAGAAGAAGAAGAGATGGTTGTAGTTGTGGTTGTAACAGGTGTAGAGGATGGTATCGAGATTTGTTCTTGTGCATTTGTAGCTTCAATTGTTGAATTAAAACAAGGTGTTGCTAATTATTTTTGAGATAAATAACTTATTATTAAATGATTGATTGATTGCTTGATTTCAATTAACTCTAATGTTTCAGTTTTATTTTCCCTTGAAAAAGATCTTACTTACTTTTGAAAAAACGTATTAAATTGACATTATTGTTATTATTAACATTTATAATATTTTCATTGTTGAGATAAAATTTTGGTAATTTCGTTACTTGTAAACCGAAATTTCTCGGAACAAGCTTTGTTAAAATACAGATTTTATTAATGTTTCTTGCTGTCATTATGTACAAATTTCTTTTCTTTATTTATATATTTTACTCGATAGAATTCACGTGAATTGATAAAAAAATTATTTTGATCAACAAGATCTTTTATGAATTTGGTTCCTTCCGCATGTGATTTTTTTATAAAGGAAACGAGCATTGAATTCGTAAACGATGACGACTAGAAATTGCAAACAATAAAATCAATGAATAATTGTATCAAGTCGACTCTAAAATATTAAACTTTTAAACTCTCCCTCTAGTTAAAAGAAAATATGATCACGAAAAAGATTGTGAAAGACAGTGATCAAAGCAATAGTGGGTTTGTTTGCAAATTTCCAGGTTCTGGTAAAACTTCCAGGTTTAGTCGTACACTTGGCTAACGCAGTTTTAAAATGCGGATAACAAGAAATTTAAATATCAACTTGTTTTGGGGTGTTGTTTACTCTTCAACACACTACTCACCTAATGTAATCCTAATACGAGCTCTCTTGCCACTCAAAAACATTTTGTAATTAATATTAAAAGTTCATGCAAGAAAGTCGTCATGTTTTGTTTTAAAACTTTGACCCAACTTTTTTTAATAACATCACAATGGATACTGAAATAGCTCGTAAGAATTTTGAATTTCAAATAATATTATGACAGTTGGCCCATCTGATGATCAAATATGCCATTACGACAATATAGATCAAGTACAATAGATCACGACAAACCATTGATGACAAAATAGTTTGCATTTGATTTTATTACAACAGTCATTTGTTGCGATTATGTTTTGCTTTTCATTATTAATAATATCAAGGGCTCAAAGTCCCTGGCCAAATTATCGTATAACCATTTTGATTTTTTATATATAGAGCATATTTCCGAAACATAGCACAGATAATGCGTTAAGTCGTTATTTCCACATCCACTCCGGTTTGTCTGGTGGACAAGTCCTTCCGCGTCACGACTCCTTACCAACGAACGATAAATAAATACATAATAATAAATAATATAAAATATTCAATGAATACTATATTAAAATACACGTTAAAATAAATTTATTTAATAAAGAGCAATAAGATTTCTATATTTTAAACACACGTTACAATGGTTTTTTGTACGTTCGTGTTCTTTAGGGTCACAACTTTCGATAAACTTAAATAAATGTCTGTTATTAAACCAAGGCTCTACTTTGAATTTACCTGATAAGACTTTGTTATTAAACCAATCTATACGTCAAATTCTATCATATGTACATATCAATGTCAATCACACTCTCCACTTTCATATTCGTTTATAAAGACAAATAACTACCGTAACCACCAAAATCTTTAATACGATTATTCAACATTTCAATTTCATTCTCAGTTGAAGATTATTTTCTGCATTCTTTATTATACACGGGATTTGTTAGAAATAGATTTTAAACAATCGCTTATATATTCATTCAGTCTTCGTTTTAATTCATTGATATCCTCAAAATCAAGATGATAGTTATTAATTTTTTGACTGATATTTAATGTTTCGATTTCACCTGCCCGTCGGAGATAAATATTTTGTGGTTTATTCAAAATAGATTTTAAATAATTACTTATAAGGTCATTTTGATTTTGTTTTAATTCATCGATATCTTTTTGTATGCCCAACGGGTTGGATCGGAGCCCGGCGGCGGGGTATTTTTCTTTAATATGATTAGGAATTAAAGACTTCATGGACAAAAGTCGTACTCACGTTTAAACGATAATAGCACACAAAAAAACATAGTAATAGCCTAAGTTCATACTCACTTCTCTAGCATTTATATTAAGATTTCGACCTTTTTTTTGAATAAGTATTAAGATTAACACAAAAGTGAGTAAATAGTCGATTTTGATGATTGGTCAAAAAAATTTGGTCAAAGTTTTATTTTTTTTTAATAATTCAATGTTAGAGAAGTGAAATTTTACATGTTTTATTAGGTGCTTGAGCGTGATTGTTTTGCCTATCGCACCTGTTGATTACAGCAATGAATCATCCAAATATTAATAATGACAAAATAAGTGTTAAAGTATACAGTATCTAGTACCATTAAGTGTGCTTACAGATTCGCAAATAAATTCATAAACTTATTAGATGACAAGCGCAAGAGTAGCCAAAAGTTAAGCCGTAATCGGCCATACATGTTAAACAATAGGCGTCAACTGAAAGGCCATCTTTCAATATCATCATTTAACAGGAATTAAAAAAGTTTATTATTTCAAAAGAAATAAAATAAAGATAAAAAGATAAAAAGATAAATAATTATAATGAATAAATTTATGCTGGAAAATAAATTAGTCATTCGTCAATTCTTTCA